TTTTTTGTTGTTATATACCTGGATGACTGAGAAAACAAACTTTGTGTTAATCTTGTATTATTTCTTATATAAAATTTCTATTACATATTTAACAAATTTACCTAATTTTTATACTTCAGTGTTTCAAAGTGGAATACCTAATTTATTTTTCACTAATAAGAGGACTTGCGCTGGCCAGCACAGTTCAGTTTTTGTATTTTACATCAAAATTGGTAATACATATTTTTATCTTTTTACATGAATCTGGTCCTTTCTTTTATTCTGAAATGCAAAACTACAAAAAATGTTGTTTTGTTTTTTTTATTTTTAAATATTTTGTGTAGTGTCACACCAACTGCCCCCCCCCCCCCCCAACAAGTGGCCCATGGGCCATCAGTTGATAATCACAGGCTTCAGTCACATTTCATTTATTCAACAAAGGGGCAGAAATGCCTTACGTTTTTCAGGTTCCATATCTTAACCAGGAATGAAAAACAAACAAACAGGAAATGTTTCTTTTTCTACAATGATCAACATGTGTTTGCTGCCATCTTCTGTGTCAACGGTCTTACTGCACAGTCATGGCAAACAACCGTCACTGTCTGAAAACTTGTATTTTCAGACCTCAGTTAAACAACTAATATCAAATCACTTCTTCAGGCAATAAATAAAAAAATCTATTACAATATATCCATTCATGCATTATCTTACGCTTGTTCCGAAGTCGGGTCATGGGGGCAGCAGGTTGAGCAGGGAGGCACAGACATCTCTTTCAACATCACCTCTTCCAGCTCTTCTGGGAGAACTCCAAGGCATTCCCAGGCCAACCGAGAGATGTTGTCTCTGCAGCGTGTCCTGGGTTTTACCCAGATTTCCTTCCAGTTAGACACATCCAAAGCAACTGCCTAGGGAGGCGCCCAGGAAGCCTTCTTACCAAATGGCCTAACCACCTCAACTGGCCCATCTCAATGTGGAGGAGCAGTGGCTCTACCCCGAGTTTCTCCTGGATGACTGAACTTCTCACCCTTTCTCTAAGGGAGATTCCAGTTACCATGTGGATGAAACTCATTTGAACTGCCTGTATCCACAATCTTATTCTTTTGGTCACTACACAAAGTTCATGACCATAAGTGAGAGTAGGAACATACTGACCAGTAAACAGAGAGCTTTGCCTTACAGCTCAGCTCTCTCTTCACCACAACAGACCAGCACAGAGTCTGTAATACTGCAGATGCTGCACCAATCCGTCTGTCAGTCTCACGCTCCATTCTTCCCTCACTCGTGAACAAAACCCAAAGATATTTGAACTCCTTCACTTGAGGCAGAACCTCACCCTCAACCCGAAGAGAGCAATCCACCCTTTTCTGACTGAGGATCGTGGCTTCAGATTTGGAGGTGCTGATTCTCATCCCAGCTGCTTCACACTCAAACTGCTCCAATGAGAGCTGGCGATCATGGCACGATGACGCCAACAGGACCACATCATCTGCAGCTAGCAGAGATGGTATCCTGGGGCCACCAAACTGGAATCCCTCCACCCCCTGACTGCACTGAGAAATTCTGTCCATAAAAGATATGAACAGAATCTGTGACAACGGGCAGCCCTGGCAGAGACCAACTCCCACCCTGATGGAGTTCAATTTATTACCTGCAATGTGAACCAAACTCTCACACTGCTTGTATAAGGACTGAAGAGTCAGTAGCAAAGCCTTCTCCAAGTCCACAAAACACATGTAGAATGTCCCATGACTCCTCAAGGACCCTAGTGGGGGCAAAGAGCTGATCCAGTGTTCCACAGCCAGGATGTAATCCGCATTGTTCCTCCTGGGTCTGAGGTGTATTACAATTACAATATATCAATCAATCAATCAATTGTTAAAACAGATACAGGAAGGGAAACAAACAAATGTAACACTGACACAACACTAAAGACATCTCATTGTTGGTTGCAGCGTGCGAATGCGCCCGCTGAATCAGTGAAGATTATTTTACAATATTCCATATATATATATATATATATATATATATATATATGGTAGTTTGATACAGGAATATTGCATGTGAGAGCGGCATTCTTTGTCACTAATACTGTGTGCTGTTTATCCAGGGTTGTCGAAGTTGAGGCACCTGCAGGTATTGTAGACGGTCCTCCAGTAACGTTGCAGGAGGATTTTCAGTTAAAGTTGATAATTTAATCTGCAGTAGACGGTCCTTGAGCGAGGCTTTCATTCTGACTCCAACAACCAGTTGTCTCTGCATTTTCACGCCTGAATCTCTTTACTCTAACCATGTTCGATCAGGTTGTTAGCAGCAAACAACAATGGAGCACCGTAAGAACATTTGAACAATTGGAAGTCCCATCTTCTAACTGGACTATGGATATGTGTATTTGTGGGGTGGGTAGTGGCTGAGAGCAGACAAAGGATGCATGTTTGTAGACTAAAGCCTTTTATTGATCAAGGAACCTGATGATTTTTCACGTAACTGCGGGAGAGCAGAACAAAAGATGGAAGTCTCTCAGATAAGACAAAGACCTTTGATTATTCCAGGTGACATAGCTTTTTCCCATAAGTGACTCAGTCACTTGATCAGGCCAGTAAAGGAAGAGTATTGTTCATATATGCAGGTACACATAGTAAGATAACCTTTAAGTTCATTTATGAATAGAGCATTTCAGATACATACCGGATCAATTATATTTAGATGACCTTTGGGGTAATTTATGACCTTTAAGGTTATTCTTGATTGACTCCTGTCACATCCAAGTTTGACGAAAGGCGGTGTTTCTATGTTACTTGTATCTGGTTCTTACAGTGTACATATCAAGTACATGCCATGTTCATAGCTAATACATACCTACTATATACCTAGTGCATACTGGGTAAGTACCAGGTACAATACTTATCAGATACTTATCTGACACTGACCTGGTGCTTACAGATACTTATAAACCTGGCAAGTACAGAATATGTGCCTGGTATGTATTAGCATGTACTCCATTGTATTTATCAAGTACATAACTGGTTTGTACCTGGTACATACCTTATATGTTCTTAGTACATACCTGGAACTTACCTGGTACATATACTTACAGAATACCTATCAGCTATGTACCCTGTAAGTACTGGGTCTGTACTGGGCTATATTATGCATTGCTACAAACAAATATTTAAGGGAATTAAATAAAAACAAAGAACCAAATAAACATTAAAACATACAAAGACATTTAACTAACATTGTTGATACAAGAAGTAAATATCTTGGAAATCTTTCCTCCTCAGAGTTCGTCAACAATAAGTATTCATAAAGTACTGCTTCAAACAATACTCTCGTCTCAGGTTCACATAAGGTCAATAGTCAGGGCCAGTGGAGGGACCAAAGGTTCACATTAAGGTGACAGATGTAGTGCAGGAGGTTAGACAACCAGCCAAGCTCTCTATTCCTGAATAACCCACAGGATGTAGTCCATTCCAATAACGTCTGTCAGCATCCTCATCTTCATACGCCACTTTATAACAACCACCAGCAGCCCCCACTGACGTGGGACAGAAAGGAGGAGAGACTTGTGGACAACCTGTCTGGATGTGGTGGTCCTGTAGGACGAAGGTTGTGGAGGATGTGTTGGTAACACGTGGATCTGAAATCAAGCTGTCCTCCCTTAACTCTTCCCACAGGTTATCTGTAGAAACAGAAAAAGAGTTGCTGAAAAGTTTGCTATGTGTAATAAAAAAGGCCCTTTAATGGTCTGGATTTTTTAAATGGAGTATGGAGGAGTTTCCATCCGTCATTATCTTACCTGCAAAAGAATTTTCATGTAGGAGTGAAACTGATAATCAGATTTATGTTTATTCCAAAGCATCTTTAAATCAATATAAAAGAAACCCAAAGCTGAAAACTACTGTAGCAGTTCAGCTGAATAATATTTTATCAGTTTTCACACTGCATGACATTTGCAATCAACATTTTCCAGTTTGCAACAATAGTTTTACAAAGGCTGTTAAAGTAACAAACATTCACGTGACTTTTCTGTAAAAAGTCCAGCGTTTCTCAACTTCTGTCATCAAACTTCACTTCTCATACACTTAAATCTGCTGCAGTTTTGGGCTTAAATGACTTAAAAACTTGGTCCACATGGGTAATGGATCATAGTTGCATTGGTTTGATAAAACACTGGATCAAAAACGTGAACTAACAGTTTGGTTTGAGATGAGCCTCATATTTCCAAAGAAAGTGTCATTTTCAATCATCATGGGACCTCTGCTACTAGATATGATAAGAAGACATGGTAAGACAATTAAAAAAAAACTCATGGGAAGATGCTGAACTTGGTTGGTTCAAGTTTTTATTTTTCGCTTGACAATTAATTTGGTTGACTAAAAAGACTAAAACAGGAAGGGCAGTGGGCTTTGGGAACCAGAGTTTGGGCACCTCAAGCATAAAATACCATTAGCTAGCATTAGCTAGATGATGCTAACAAATATGTTTTAAATTTGTGAAGCACCACACAAGTGAACTGTTTAATGTTAACACCTATAAGATGAAGGGCTAAGGTTTATATAACTAAGATACATTACATTAGTGATAACGTTCTTACATTATTTATTTTTAGTGTATTTTAAGTGGACTAGCTAGCATGCTAGGTTACATTCCCATAATTGAAAAGCTAAGTTGTTTATGAGCAAAGTCAGGCAGCGTGAGTCTCCTCTTACAGATGATGAGAGTCAGTGAGTAGGATGTAGTACTCATGTTTGTAGTTTTTTTCTTCTGTAATTATTTATGTCATTATTGTAGGCTACTTTCTAAGGAAGCTGACAGTAATGAGTCTTAAATCTAAGTCAAAGTGTGTCAGTGTACCCACCCAGTAGCTTTTGGACAAACTATGAAGCAGCAAAAATGGGATGAAAATAAAATTAATACAATTTATATACTAATATGTCAGTCCTACACTAATTTCTAAACTGGAAATGTCTTCAAGTTCTTGGTACAAAAAAGATGTGATAAACTTTCAGAGTTTAATTTTGTTTATCTTTTTGAGTCTAATGTGTTTTATGTCACATTAGATCAGCTGAATGTTTCCTGCTTGTGTTTTATCCATAATGTTATTTGCATGTGTGTGTTACCTTGCAGCTGCAGGTCAGTAAGACTTGGGTTTAGCGTGTCAATGTCATAACTGGTGTCCCCCTCTTGCAGCAGGTCCTGCATGCCTCTCGGATCGACACTTAACTCAACCGGCAACCCAACATTGCAAATGCGTGGCCTTTTTCCCGCCACAGGTGAGTTCAAACATCCTGTGGCTAATGGGACGTCCACCGTCGGCTGCTGTCCGCAGTGTGAGTACAGGGCGAATGAGTTGCCGGGCTGAGCAGCCACGGGGGGGAGATAATAATGTTGCCCAGGTTGAAGGTGGGCGTACTGTGACGACTGAATGGGAGGCTGAGCAGGAGTTAAGGGTGATGAGGTCGGGCTGTATACGGGGGCCACTCTGGTGCTGTAAGGTGGCAAAGATCTCAATTTGTCCGGTTTTTCCCCCAACAGACGCTCAAGATCTTCTGTGTTTAAAACAAAAGTAATATCTTTGTTAACTTTTAGCTACAGTATTTTTTTTAAACCTAAATTAAATCAATGCACTGTAAAAGCTACAAATTTAAATGTAATTTTCGGCTCATCTAACGTGCCCGCGGGACCCACCCGGTCTTGCCATGCTCCTGCGAACAGTCAGGGGGTCTTTGCGGCGCCACTTGTGAAGCTCGTCTTGCATCTTCTCCACCTTGGCTGGATTAAGAGCCCAGAGGCAACCTTTACGAGAAGTGCTCCCATTTTTGTTCTCCACCTTCTCAAAACACTTGTTCAGAGAGAGGTTGTGCCGCACTGAGTTCTTCCATCCATCAGGGGCAGTCTGAACACAGAAGGGAAGGGGTCATGCAGAAGTCTGACTTTATTTTTAATGATCCCATGCTAGAGACAAGAACAAGTAAAAAAAAAATAAATAATAGTACATCTTTATACAGCAAGACTTGTTGGACTCTTCAAACAGTTCATTGCGTGTAAGATCTGAAAACAATGAAAATGAAAGGCTTAGCATTCCTGGAAGGAATGCATATCACCCGCCAATCCAGATATTTAAACAAGAATCATAGTGAGATGAGAAATAACAAAGTTAGAGCCATTTTGGGCATACCTCATAATTGATGTTTTGCACTGTCTCGTGCAATATTGAAATGTGTTAACACTCAGATGTGCTGAACATGAATCTCAGTGACAACCTTGATACATTTTAGCTCAATATCTGTAAAATTACCTGAAATGTAGCCATTTTTGTTTTTGCTAAGTCTGATTAGCGGTAGCAGCCGTTTTGAATTAGGATGACTCTAAATGGTCATCAGTTATAATGAGACATGTAATGACACTTTCTGAGAATTTCAGTAAAATCTGTCACTGGTCTATGAAGTATTTTGTTAACAGAAAAATGGTTTTGGCACATACTGTTAATGCTAAAGCTTTAGGTAAAATATCACAACGTGGAATGAATGAAAGGTGGACTATGCTCTGCTAATACCTCACCTAATTACAGCTCTGTGTCTGTAAATTTAGCTGACGTACAGCCATTTATGTGTTTGTTTAGCTCGCTTAGCTGTGGCATCCATCTTAAACATGGCTAACTTCAAAAGTTCTTCAGTTGCGAACAAACATCCAATAATTACTTTGAGAAAGTTGCATTAAAATCTGTCCACTCGTTTGATATTACTCACAAGATTAACACATGAAGACACGGACATGGAAAAAAACAACCTCAGTGTCATCGGCATCGCACAAGCACATGTATATTAATACGGGCATTGTATATTTGAGCAAACAGTAACAAACTAAACAAATGTTATCATGCTAAGTTGTAGAGGGTTAATGTTAGCTAGAGTAGTGGGTTTGTTTTCACACTGTCATGGTCCATAGGAGGTTTGAACCCAGAATGCAGACTCACACAAGGAGCTCCAGCAAAACAACTCAAATTTATTTAAACAAAATGCCAAACTTACTTGTAAATAAAACCTGGGAAGCACAAGGAATGATACCAGACTGTGGTATGAAAACAAACAATGCACCGCTGATGAATGAAGGGAACAGACTGAATATGAAGGACTGGACTGATGATAAAATGGAGACACCTGAGCCGAATGCAGACTGAGAACAGGTGAGAGTGGCAGGCTGAGTGAGGAGTCATGAATACTGGCTAATTATAAAACAAAAAAACACAGATCCTGACAGTTTTCAGCAAGAGTTGTTTTGTAAAACTAAAAATTAAGCAGGTTCTCATTATAACCATTAGCTGAGCCTGAGATGAGTAACTACGTGGCTGAAAATGACTAATTTAAAAATATATAATCATAGCTTTTTTAAGTCAGCTCATCTGGATGGTTTCTTTCTTATCTTTTTTTTTACTTTTTTTTTTACCATTCATCCAAAGGACTTCATCAGTCCGAGGAGCCACAACAATTTCAGTCCCACAAACCGCATACTCACATAGTGGGCCAACCAGTTTGCAGTTTGCTGGTCCTTTGGATGAAGGATGAGACGTTTAAAAAAAAAGAAAGAAACTCTCCAGATGACCTGACTCAACTTTGGTGGATGTTTTACCTGGATTATTGAGCATGAACTTTGATGTTTTGCACCACTTTAGCTATGAGGAGTCTATGGGGGAGAGGGCGGACTCCAGAAACCATCTTATCGCCAGCAAACTGGTTGGTCCACTATGTGAGTGTGCTGCTTGTGATGAGTTTGTTGTGGCTCCTTGGACTGATGAAGTCCTTTGGATGAAGGACAAAAAGTTTCAACAAAAAATAAATAAAAAAGTTTTCAAAAAGTCCAGATGACCTGACTTAACTTTGTTGGATTTTTTTTTTTTACCTGGATTATTGAGCATGACCTTTGATACATAGCTCTTTTATTCTTCTCAAGTAAAGTAAAACTATTAGCTTTGCTGAAACTCAGAGAACGTGGGAACGTCTAAAAGTTATGGTTTTTACAAACCATCAGGCAACAGGAAGACAGCAATAGCCTCCCAGAAACGAACATAAAAACAGATTAATCTTTGCCCGTGTCTGTTTTGGCAGGGACTGATTTCTACATGCCATGACAAGTGCCCACTGAACTGATCTTAGGTGAAACATACTTGGCAATATAAAGGTTTTTTAAAAAAACGTCTCTCAAACTGTGATTAAAAATGCATGTGACTTTTCTCAAAAGTGTTTCTTTTACCACTTTCTGACCCTGCAGCCCATCTGTTTGGAAATCAGCCATGAATACAGCAATTTCAACAATCAGCCACCTACATGTGTCATTAGACTGTAGCCGATGGGCTCTCAGGTTGTCTTTAAGGTGCCTTCTTGAATATGCATGCTGGGAAATGTTTGAGCTCTTTCCAAAAGAGAGCCGAAGTTCGCTGGAATCTTTTAGATGATCAGAGTTCAGCAGGAGCTTCAACCCTGCAGCTGCCCTTTTTTAAATTAATATTCATGCTATCCGGCTATAGATTTATAACACTCACATCTGCAAGCCACTTCCTAGACAGAATGGCATGCGTAGCTGTGGCAGACGTTTTATGGAGGTAATTGATATCTGTTTCAGCACAAAAACCTGGTCGAACCTTTTAGCTACAGGCTATGACCGAATGAGAGAAACCAGTGGTGCTTCGTGGTTCTGGACTGTACTGTGCCAATTAGGTTTATTAAAATGGCAAAACCAGAACAGTCACTCAGAGGGGATCTTGTACCTTTGTTTTATGAATCACTTGGGCTCACTTTTCTTGTAAAGCTAGAAATAAAATAATGATTTAGTCCTGAATGTTTTTATGCAGAGGTCTGCTCACTTCACAAGAAAGTCACAGATTTTGACTAAACAAACACCTCTTACTATTATCCTGACATTTAATTAAATTATTTATACTAAAAAGAGATCGTATTTTACCTTGAAATAAGGAAAGTGTTCAGTCATGAAGCTGTAGATCTCACTGACAGGCAGACTTCCTGTTTTGCTGTTCTTCAAGGCCATAAAAATCAAGATGCTGCAGTGATGAAGAAGACATATCTTCATTTAGGATCACACAGTGGAACTACATCTCTGACCTGATCCAGATGATCAGATAATGTAAAAATTGTCTTTGCTTTAACTGTGGCTGCAGTGAAAGCAGAAACATGCCAGTAAAGAAGGCAGTGTTACCTGTAGGAGTAAATGGGCTTGGGAAAGATGGACTGTGCGCTGCTGTCCTGATGTGTCTGACTCTGGACAGAGTATTTAGAGCTCTCAGGCTGGGTGTCATTGGGATACAGCTTCGACGGGACCTGAGACGCAAACAACCTGTATGAAAATCAGAAACTGACAGCCATGAAAAGTCTCTGTGTTCATCCAAACCATCACGTAGACAAACTGCGACACAATCAAACGATAACGACACAGAAGTTATACAGTAAATATCTCCTTGTGTTGTGGTTTGTGTTTTACTAATGTACCCCTCTGTGGTTCAGTGAGCATGCCCAGTTACCTGCTGCAGAGGACTCAGTGGGCCGTAGGATGAAAATCTCTGAGACAGAGAGCCGTAAGGATCCACGAGACCAGCTGGTGGTTCTGAGTACAAACTCTGCAAGCAGGAAGAAATCAGAGCAAAAATGGTTTGCAGCTGAGTTTTATGTTGTTGTATTAGAATGACAATGATTATAGGTGCTTTAAATTAAATCCCCTAATTTATATCAGTATTAAAGATAACTCTTTCAGTGTGTGAGTGGGTGATACATTAAATGCTTTTGCTGTAAGAAAGAAGGGAACAAGTGAATCTGTTACAGGATGTTTGGCAAGAGACTGTTTTGGTGCTAGGAAGTTTATGGAGGAAAGCTTTTCATGGTAGCTGATCAGCTTTTTTGAAAGTTGTCGGAGTCGGTCTCACCATCACAGACATCTACACCTTTAGATGCAGGAAGAGGGTCACCTGCATCATGAAGGACCCCACTCACCCAGCACACACACTTTTTGCCCCACCCCCCTCAGGAAGGAGGTTAAGGAGCATTAAGTGTAGAACCACTAGACTGAGGAACAGCTTCTACCCTGAGGCTGTTAGACTCATGAATCTCTAACCAGAATAATCACTGTGAAGAATCACATCATGTTGCTGCTGATCTGTTTCATGTTGCTGCTGATCTGTTTCATGTTGCTGTGTTCATGCGTGCTCATCTGCTCACACAGACTCATGTTCGTGCTGCTGTTCGACGTGATGTTTTTGTGCTGTTAGTGCTTAGCCTATATTTAGTTGATGTTTTTCTTAGTTTATATCTTAGATCTTATTACTGTTTTTCTTTTACATTTTATTGTTGGATGTTACTGGGACCCTGTGTACATAATTTTGTTCCACCACATGTACCACATGGGGTGCAAATGACAAATAAAGAACCTTGAATCCTTGAATGCTTGAAAGTTATATTGGATTTTGCTACAAAACGAGAAGTTAGATATCGTCTGAGAAAAAAATAAAACTCCCAGGTTAAAACTACTTCATGACTTTGGGACTCCTGGAGACATTTAGGAATAATAACACGTGCTACCAATGATAAACTGCCATTATGTCCATAAAATGTTGGGCAAGATTGAAGGATGGATTTTTGTTGTTATTTATTGCCTTCCCACCATGCACCCTGTATTTATCTGGTCGAAGTGGCCTATAATAACTGCTTCCTCTAACTGAGTGTTGTGGCCTGATGCCATATGTTTGAGTGACTCTAAAGCTGCAGGTTGATTGCTGCCCCAGCTGTGCTGTGGCTCATCTTGGATTGGCTGGCCTCTCCTGACTCCTCCCCAATGGACATTCATCTGCATCTTGGTTGGCTTCTTCACCCCCTGCTCCTCCAACCACAGAAGAAGCCTGCCTATTTAAACCCAGCTCTCAGGGCACTTGTTATTTAGAGCAGCTCGCCATTTTGTATGGGTGTCTTTAGTCTTGGAATGGTTGGCTTTGGCTAAATGTTAATTACTGCAGTTGGAGTTGTTTGTTAGTGTTAGTGGAAGCTCCTGAATACAATCAGAAGGCTTACTAGTTAAAAATCTTTGTTTGGATTCTGTATAAATTTGGTTTAAGGCTAAACACAGTTGATTAGCATTTTTTTTTTGTTTTTGACTTTGTTAGAAATTGTAATTGTAAACTATCCTTGGTTATTGGTACTTTGAAAGTACCCTTATTTTGTTAATTTTGTCTCATTGACCAAATAAATCATTACTTTTATTCAAAACTTCACTCCACCTGGTTTTAATGTTACCCCCCCACCTCCTTTTCGGACTGAGCCGGGTCATAACATTAATGGGGGCTCGTCCGGGATGTGCACCTGGGATCCCTTGCACCCCAAGCGAGAATCATACTCCTACACTCCATCATTGAGAAGGAAGCTCTAGCTTTGCTTCTGGCACTGCAGCACTTTGAAGTGTATCTTGAGTCTAGTCCTTCACCCATTGTAGTTTACACCGACCACAATCCACTTGTTTTTCTCTCGTACATTTACAATTAAAATCAAAGACTCATGCGCTGGGCCTTAATTGTACAGGACAACAATCTCAACATCAGGCACAAAAAGGGTGTAGCCGACATCTTTGTTGATGCCTTGTCTAGACTGCATTTGTGAAAACGTCTATTTGTATATGTGTACATTTGTTTTGATAAATTTTGTATTTTAGGGGGGAGATGAGGCCATATGTTTGAATGACTCTCTAGTTTCAGTTTGATGTGCTGACCCAGCTGTGCTGTGGCCCATCAGCATCAGGCTGCTGATCCTCTCACTGACCAGCAAACATGAGCTCTGACGATTAGCTCAGAATGAAGTCTTCACTGAAACAATCAGTTGTTGTTAATTTAGAAACCTGAACGCTGCCGTTGTACTGCTCCCACGCTGTCGGCACGTCGCTGCTGCAGGAGCAAGTGTCGGGGCTGCTCCCCTCCTGCAGATCGGTAAAAGAAGAGGCACTCTGATGGAGGCGACCTGCGGTCTCCATGGCTCCATCGCTGAACTGTCGGCGGTACGGGTGAAAACGGCCGGCAGGGCCTCGCTCTGGTGCCGGTCCTGAACCAGGACCGATGGTCTCTTCAGAACTGTGCCTTCTGTTTGGAGCTGCCGTCCTCACACTGAAAGAGTTGCACTCCTGCTGAGAAAAACATGTAGCCCCCCCTCTTTATTCTGCACACAGTGAGCTCACATCATTTATCAAGTATTTATTACAAATTACACTCATTTATAAGATACTAATGAATGAATATGTGCTTGAGTTGTCTCAATTTTCCTTTTAAGCCAATTTAATGACAGATTAAAACCCCTTCATGTGAACCCTCTGAACCATCGTAAAAAAAAAAAAAATTCTTGACAGATAAATCCCAGAGATTTATCATGACTCACCACAGAGTGAGATTGTAACACCCTCAGTTTGCCTCAAAGGGAAACTTTTTTGACGCTGGTTTCTGTGAACTACTTATGAGAAGTTAGTATCTTACCTGGAGTGGACAGCAGTCAGAGTGATCTCAGTTTGAAGAGTCAGGGTGACTTTTTTTTTTTTAATTCACCGGGGAATTGTGGCACAGAGGTTAGAGAAGGTGACCCTGTGATCGGAAGGTTGCTGGTTTGAATCCCCTGCATGTCCCAAAAATGTGGGTGGAAAGGTGAAACACCCATACCTGCCTCCACTCTCATTTGCCTCACTCAGGCCCTTGAGCAAGGCCCTTAAAAGAAACAAATACTGTAAACATATACTAGTTTGCTGACTGTGGTGACTCCAAAAGAAGGGAGCAGCTGAAAGAGGAAGTTTTTTTTAATTATTATTATTTTTATCCAATACCTGTTTTACCACAGCTGGCACGAACAGTCCTGAATGTAAATTGTCATAAATCAGCTCTGACTTGTTCGTCTACAGGTCTAATCCCATATCAGAACTAGGGTCAGTGAGATTAATTTGTTACAAAAAATTGGGCTTTAAATGTGTTGTTTTAGATGGCAGAGTGTTCTTCTTGCATCAGTCTTCCTCCAAAAAGTTGTTAGTTTAACTCCCACATAAGGAAGTCTCCCTGATTCTCCAGAGTGAGATCAAAATGTAAAATTCTATGATGACGGCGTGTGTCTGCCGCAGGTAAAATACTGACCACTCTTAAATGATCCATGTAAATCTGCTGCACAACAGCACACTGTCCTGTTACGATGCAATATTTTTATTTTACCATCACTTTTTCTTCACCCCAGAAATCTGCTAAAAAAAAACTAAAAAAAAAAAAACCACTTGGCAATATTTTAATGTCTAATCTTTTTCAGAAACACTTCAGCTAGCTGCAACATGGTGATATTTTTGTTTTTTGACAAATTAAATGCCCATGGCTGCTCAGTACCTGAGGTTCTGCCATCTGCTGGCTGGGGGTCCCACGAGCCTCACAGGTGTGTCGTCTCACCGGAGGGGTTGATGTTTGAGACTTGCAGCCGGTGAGAGTAAATATGGGGAAGTGGGACATTCTGCACCCAAGTCTGCCTCTGTGAAAGGATAACAAAAACACATACGAGAGGGAAGACTCCATCACCCGGAAACCTTGTAAGTTACATACAGGCTTTCCCAGTGCAACTTAACAGGAACCAACAGCAATTCACCACTAAAATTCATTAACACATTTTAATTTGGTAGATTTGAGCTCAAATTAAAGGGTAAACTTTACATTTTTGTTGTGGAGTTGTGTCCTGATTGGCAATTGAAATACGATGTTGTGTTTTGTAACTTTTGCAATGTGTTCAACATAACGGTACTTTTTCCAGCTATCTAACTGTCAACAATGGTGTACCACAAGGACCCACCCTCTTCACAATCTACATACTGTAAGTAACATAGGTCAGATCGTTCCTTCTATATCGACGACACAGTTGTTTATTGTCGAGCTAGAACAGTTGCTAAGGTTTCCCAACATCATCCAGTCAGATTTGTTCTGTCTCAAACTTGTGCTAAATGCAGATAAAACCAAAGAAGATGTTGTTTTCAAACAGGAAGTTGGTACCAGCAGTCCTTCCTTCTATACTATCTATGAATGGTGTTCCTATTGAGTTTGTCCATTCTTACAAATACTTGGGTATTTTGGTCGATTCGCTTCTCTTTTAAGACTCATGTCGAAAACTTGGTAAAGAAACTGAAAGTTAAATTGGGTTTCTTTTTTAGAAATAGGTCCTGTCTAACTCTGAATTCTAGGAAACACCTTGTAGTTGCTACTTTCCTTCCCTCCATTAAGTATGGTGACATTATTTACATGAATGCTCCTGCAATCACCCTGCAGATGTTGGACAGTCTATCACGGTGCACTAAAATTCATAAATGGCTGTAAACCGTACTCATCACTGCACTCTGTATTCACTGGTTAACTGGTCAGTAACTTCACATAGACTCTCTCACTGGTACATTTTCATCTTCAAAATCACTTCTTGGTCTGTTGCCTTCTTACATCTTGTCCTACGTGTCACGGTGTGAGTGAAGCTACAGCGTGCGCTCTCAAGACATCATTACCTGCAGCGTCCCCTCAGTGCAGACTGAATTTGGCAAAAGGGTCTTCTCTTACTCTGCTCCTATTTCCTGGAACACCTTGCAAAAAGACTTGAAGTTGGTGACTCTGACCACTCTAAGGGATTTTAAACATCTGCTAAGTTCGTGGCAAAAACCAACGCAGACATGTTCCTGTTTTTAGTATTTTGCATTGTTTATAATGTAGCTAATTTTGTTTCGTTTTATATCATTTCTTTTACTTTTCATTTTATATGCATTTATACAATGGTCTATTGTTGTCTGTACCTCATCTGTGTTCTTTGTTTAAAACAGGTCTCTCTTGTAAATGAGTCCTCATAACCCAATGAAACTAGCCTGTATAAATAAAGTTTGAATGAATGAATGAATTTTCATGTTTGTTTATGAAACCTCTCAACATTATATTGCCTTCCATCTTCCTCATAAGTCAGAACTTGGATCTGGGAATGACATCAAATCCAGTTGTTACAAGATGGAAAATCTAATAAAAAGCTAACCATCAGCAATACAATTTACATTAATGTGCTAATAAATAGTAGCAATCATCACTTCTGATGTGCAAGATGCTGTGTTGGATTTGAAGTTTGGCCTGATAAGAAAACTCCAACCTTTCAATGCAAAATTTCAAGTCTGGAGGGCGTTTCTAGATGTTTTACTTGAACTTGGAACCAGAAAATTCTGGCTCCCAACACAAACAGAACGCACTGTTACACTCATGAGAAAAGTGTTTTGTCATAACTCCCAGACAGAAAGTGAAAGGTTCCTCAAACCTGGTGAAAACCACTTGAGTACAGGAAAATTGAAGCGGTATATTTGAATGATGTTGCCATAGTTTCATCCCAGACGGTGACTCTTTTGAACGTTGCTTGTGTTGGGCTCTTCTGAGATCACATCTTCTGACTCATGTTTCTACTGTACATCAGCGAGACACACGGAACCGTTGTGTTCCTTCTCAGGTTCACACCTGAACGAAGGTGGACGTGCATGTGTCAGGGCTTTATCTGAGCCGGTGTGAAGGAGTGTAAAGTGACTCCAGCGAGACACACACACGGCTCTGGTTCCAGTGGAGGAAACCTCAAAGCTGACAAAAAGCCAAGCTCATTAAATGTGCCAACAAACCATGATGGCTGTCAGGTCACGTAAAGCTGAGCAGGGCTGAGGCAGACCAGGTGAACTGCTGCGAGTGCGAGGAGAAGAAAGTAGCAAATCAAAGCTCCCCCGTTTGACTCGAGGGAAGCTAAAGTGTCAACGTGAAAGCTGAGATGGGTTTTTTTTGTTCACCTCTGTAGCAACAAATCCTCTCATCGGTTTGACCGACACCAGAGGAAACACACATAAACATACAGAGGAGAGCTGAAACTGTGTTTGTGTTTGTTTGTTTTTTAAAAACTTCTAAACTCCTTTTCTCTTTGTACAACGTGAGCAGAAACCTAAACACAACTAGAGAAATTGCATTTCCTGCAAAAATGCAGTGTGAATGCTCATTGCAGAAGAACCTGCTGAAAAGCAGCTGAAATTAGCTCAAAAACGTGTTGAAATAGCTGAAATGAAAGAGCAAGCCAAAGTTAGCAGAAGAAAAAGAAAGAACACATATTTGCTGAATTAGGTTTAAATAAGCAGAAACTAGTGCAAAAATGAGGAAATTAGCTAAAAAAAAATTAAATTAGCAAAAACTGATTGCTGAATAGGTGGGCAGCACGGTGGCGCAACTGGTAGAGCTGCTGCCTCTCAGCGAGAAGGTCCCTGGTTCAAACCCCGGTCCAGGGGCCTTTCTGGGTGGAGTTTGCATGTTCTCTCCGTGCATGCGTGGGTTTTCTCCGGGTGCTCCGGTTTCCTCCCACAGACCAAAAACATGCATGTTAGGCTGATTGGTAACTCTAAATTGTCCCTAGGTGTGAGTGAGAGAGTGAATGGTTGTTTGTGTCGTTTGTCTCTATGTGGCCCTGTGATGGACTTGCGACCCGTCCAGGGTGTACCCCGCCCCTCGCACAGTGACTGTTGGACATGGGCACCAGCGACCCCCGTGACCCAAAATGGAATAAACGGGTAAAGATAATGGATGGATGGATGGATGATTGCTGAATAGCAGCTGAAAATGCAAAAAGAAGCTAATACCAGAACGAAGTGGAAAGAGCAGAAATGAGCTAAAAAAAAGTGGAATTAGCTGAAAAAACTAAAATTAGCATTAAAAACAGCTAAACACTGGCTGAAAGAGCTACAAAAAAGTTGAAACTATTGGAGAAAAGCTCAAAAGAGCATAACAAACTGAAATTAGCAAAATGGAGTTATTCAGGCTGAAAATAGAGATTGAGCTTTGTAGCAGATATTACCATAAAAAACTTGAATTTATCTGAAAACAGCTAAAATTAACTAATAAAAAATGTAGCTGAAAAGGTAGAACAAGCTTTAATTTTCATTAGAAAGCAGAAAAAACACATGATTTCCCAATCAGGCTGAAAGAAGCAAAAAATTAGCACCGAAAAGTAGAAATTATCTGAAAAAAGCTGAAATTAGAAAAAATAAAAAACTGCTGAAAAGTAACTAAAGAAGCATAAAGGAGCTGAAATAAGAAGGAATTGGAGAGAGCACATTTTTCCTAAATTAAGCTGAAAAATGTTGAAATGAGTGGTAAAAAATGTGGAATTAGCTGAAAACCCTTAAATTAGCATGCAACAGCTATATACAGGTCCTTCTCAAAAAATTAGCATATTGTGATAAAGGTCATTATTTTCCATAATGTAATGATAAAAATGAAACTTTCATATATTTCAGATTCATTGCACACCAACTGAAATATTTCAGGTCTTTAATTGTTTTAATACTGATGATTATGGCATACAGCTCATGAAAACCCAAAATGCCTGTCTCAAAAAATTAGCATATCATGAAAAGGTTCTCTAAACAAGCTATTAACCTAACCATCTGAATCAACGACGTAACTCTCAACACCTGCAAAAGATTCCTGAGGCTTTTAAAAACTCCCAGCCTTGTTCATGACTAAAAACCGCAATCATGGGTAAGACTGCCGACCTGACTGCTGTCCAGAAGGCCATCATTGACACCCTCAAGCAAGAGGGTAAGACACAGAAAGTGCTGAACGAATAGGCTGTTCCCAGAGTGCTGTATCAAGGCACCTCAGTGGGAAGTCTGTGGGAAGGGAAAAGTGTGACAGAAAACGCTGCACAACAAGAAGAGGTGACCGGACCCTGAGGAGGATTGTGGAGAAGGGCCGATTCCAGACCTTGGGGGACCTGTGGAAGCAGTGGACCGAGTCTGGAGTAGAAACATCCAGAGCCACCGTGCACAGGCATGTGCAGGAAATGGGCTACAGGTGCCGCATTCCCCAGGTCAAGCCACTTTTGAACAAGAGACTGCGTCAGAAGCATCTCGCCTGGGACTGCTGCTGAGTGGTCCAAAGTTATGTTCTCTGATTACAGTAAATTTTGCATTTCCTTTGGAAATCAAGGTCCCAGAGTCTGGAGGAAGAGAGGAGACACAGAATTCACATTGCTTGAGGTCCAGTGTCAAGTTTCCACAGTCACTGGGGTGTCATGTCATCTGCTGGTGTTGGTCCACTGTGTTTTATCAAGGGCAGGGTCAATGCAGCAGCTATCAGGAGATTTTGGAGCACTTCATGCTTCCATCTGCTGAAAAGCTTTATGGAGATGAAGATTTCATTTTTCAGCACGACCTGGCACCTGCTCACAGTGCCAAAACCACTGGTAAATGGTTTACTGACCATGGTATTACTGTGCTCAATTGGCCTGCCAACTCTCCTGACCTGAACCCCATAGAGAACCTGTGGGATATTGTGAAGAGAAAGTTGAGAGACGCAAGACCCAACACTCTGGATGAGCTTAAGGCCGCTATCGAAGCATCCTGGGCCTCCATAACACCTCAGCAGTGCCACAGGCTGATTGCATCCATGCCACGCTGCATTGAAGCAGTCATTCA